GGAATTATTCTGAACATAATCGCTGTATAGTTAGTCGTGTAAATTGGAGTTACGTAACAATATTTATATCATATTTTTATGATTTATTATATTACACTTTTTGCATTTTAAAAAACGTTTCTAATTATAGTTAAATTCGTAATAAATCAGAAAAGTTACCGCACCGGCAAAAAACAAGTTTTCTTTCTTAGATAAATTATTAAATTTGATTCCACAATATTATCTCTTGTTAGGATACCCCCTGGAAGTTAATATAAAAAAAGACATCAAAGATGTTTTGAAATTCTTTCAAAAATAAAACACAAGGGGTCTCGTAGATTCGTTCACATTTTAAAAGCAAAATACAATGGACCCTAAAAGTTCTATCAAATTCTTTAAAAAATAAAAAATAGGGAGCATTTTCAATATCTTAAAAAATTGGTCCAAGGTTATTTCGACAGAACTTTAATCGTAAAAAGTACAGTCAAACAAGTACGGCTTCGAATATGCGTGGATTATGAAAGTACAAGTAAAGAAGCATTGTATGCATGTGTTTCTAGTGAGTTTTTCATACAAAATTTTATTGATTGTGTCATTAACATTTTAGCAAGGATACGTATATCAATTTGAATATTTGAAGTACAGTACTATTAATAAGAGTATTGTATCCTCAAATTTTCAGAAAAATGGGATGGGCAGTAAAACATGTCACGTTATTCATTAATTTTTTTGAGTCACTTTGTATAAGCAATTCAAACTTTTTTTTGTTATGCTCACGATATCCATAAAAGATTTTCAAGATTTCAGAGCATTTGGTTTTCCAGTTTCAAGTTTAATTGCAAAATGTCACACAATTTTGATTTTTTTTCAAAAATCTGCAGGTCTAGGGTAATAACTCACGATGGATTCATAAATCACACGTGCAGGAGTATGTTACTTTATAAAATTTAAATAACATTTATTTACCGTGTTTCCGATAACCTTAAAACGTTTGCAAGGTTTGAGAGCATTCGCTTTTGAAATTTCAAAGTTGAGTTGCAAAATGTTGTTATACAACTTTAACATAACATTTGCTATTGTATTGAGATGACGTTATATTATTGTTGATGGAGACGATCGAACAAATTTTGTTAGCGTTTTGCCATCTAAACTATATTTCTAAAATACATAGAAAATTTAACAACAATCGGTACGGTAGTTTAGAATATTATCTGTCTCACAAAAAACGAAACAGACGCGGACAGACGGCAGACAATAGACGGCAGACAAACAGAAACGAGAGACCTATGTTTTCGTATTCTAGGGAGTATGGTACGTCGAGAAAACAAAACTGGCCAGACGCCCGATAGATTCGATTACAATGCTTCTTTTGTTTACGTTCGGGAAGTAAAAAAACAAATAATCTCAAAGATGCTTTGAAGCAAAACAACAAAGCTCTCCGAAATTTTTACAAATTCTTTCAAAAATAAAATATCAAACGTCCTCAAGTCCTTTTCAGCTTTAAAAAATTTAATTCGGCGAACGTAATATTTTTTATGTTAACCCCTATATGTTAAAATTAAAATAGCTGTGAATTGTTGAACCACGGGTAAAAAAGCATGCTCTGGATATGTTTAAGTAATTTTTCTTTAATAAAATTTGTAACGACGTCATTAACTTTTTAAATGAGCAAATGTATTTCCAGAATTTCAAAATGGTCAAATGTGTCATTTTTGATTTATTCAATATAAAAAAAAATGCTTGATTTTTTTTAAGTATCCTTTATACAAATACACTGACAAATACAGTACAACCTCGATAATCCGAATTAATTGGGGAAAGGTGTGTTCGGATTAGCGATTTGTTCGGATTACCGAATTTCCCAAAAAGCTGAAAGGGAATTGAATAACAATTTTATACGCAACTGAAAACAAATTTCAAGAAATAAACCTAAATTTTATTAAAGAGAAATAAAGTATTCTTAACCAACAATGGATATTAATAGATACATTTGAAAAAATATTACTCCTTGAGGATAACCACGAAATATTTGGAATCAACACGTCGGAATCAGGATTTTTAGATGACTTTTTCAAAAATAAAATTTCCCACTATGTATTCGTATTACCTCCCTTATGCAAAGTTCGACCCATTTTCGATGATTTTCGAGATTTAACTAAATACTTCCATGTAGATTTTGGACTACGGAAGTCACTTCTAGCTTCATTTCTTCGATAACTTAAACTGCTTTTCCAGAATTGTCCATTGAAATATCGCAATTTTCAAAAATTTCACAAAATCCAAATTTCACATCGAATTTTCAGAAAATATCCGTTACCATAAGCATGATATATGTATTTTTGGAGTCAGCACGTCGGGATATATATCTCTGATTTTTTTTAGAATTTTTGGACAACTTTTCCAAAAATGAAATTTTACACTATGATAGTACTTGCTAAATAACCTAACCTCTAATAAAATAAACGGCGGGTGAGCCAGGCTAGTATTTGCCAAAATAAGACTCATTTTGACAAATGACCTACTCTTCTAAGAAAAGGTACTAGCCCCGCCCACCCACCCTTTATTTTCTTAGAAAAGTAGGCCATCTGCCAAAATCAATCTTATCTCGGCAAGTATGAAACTGATTTTTGCAAATGACATATCCTCTAAGAAAATAAGGGTGAGTGGGGGGGCTAGTACTTGTCAAGATGAGACTGATTTTGGCAAATGACATATCCTCTAAGAAAATAAGGGAGGGTGGGCGGGGGGCTAGTACTTGCCAGGATAAGACTGATTTTGGCAGATGACTTATTCTTCTAAGAAACTAAAGGCTGGGTGGGTGGAGCAAGTACTTGTTAAAAAAAAAAAAAACTTAAATATCTAAAAATGACAAATTAAAAAATCGGATAAATGAGAAATCGGATTTTTCAACTTTTGAATATTTCATTTGATAATTTGTTTGACAATTTTGCAGTTTTTAATTCCATCTTTTGATTATTCAAGTTCTCAAGTTAAAATTTTCCTTTTCACGATTTGTCATTTTTCGATTTTTCTACAACAAACAAATTTACTGGGATTGAAATTTTGAAAAATCGAAAAATTGCAAATTAGAAACAAATTTTTTCAGATGTTTTAAAGTTACGGTAAACATGGCAATCCCTGATCAAAATTGCTTTCTACTCCCTTCCGAAAACTCGGTGACAAAAAATCAAAAATCGAAAATTTAAAAAAATAAACATCTATTTTCTCGATATTTTTAAAAATCAAGTAATTGAGAAATCGGAAAACTGCCAAAGTTGTAAAATTAAAAAATCGAAAGTTTTTTTCAGTTGCCCAGAGAAATCAAAAATCGAAAAACAGATCAAAAAATTGAAAATTTAAAAACCGAGAAATTGAAAAATGCGAAAGGTGAAAAATCGAAAAACTGAAAAATCTAGTAGTACTCGCTACGATGAGACTGATTTTGGCAAATGATCTACTCTCTAAGAAAACTAAGGGCGGGTGGGTGGAGCTAGCGTTTATCAAATAACCTACCCTCTAAGAAAATAAAAGGCGGGTGGGCCGCGCTAGTGTTTGCCAAAATAAGACTCATTTCGGCCAATGACCTACTCTTCTAAGAAAATAAAGAATAGGTCATCTGCCAAAATCAGTCTTATCTTGGCAAGTATGAGACTGATTTTTGCAAATGACATATCCTTTAAGAAAATAAGGGTGGGTGGGCGGGGCTTGTAGTTGTTAAAATAAAACGGATTTTGGCAGATGGCCAGATGGGATTTGTTCTGGCAAATACTAGCTTGGCCCACCCGCTTTTGTTTTCTTAGAGGGTAGGTTATTTGGCAAGTACTAGCAAATTTCGACCCATTTTTGACGATTTTCGAAATTTAACTAAATTATACTTTTTCTTGTAGATTTCGGGACGCAGAAGTCACTTTCGGCCTCATTTCTTCGATAACTTCAACCTTTTTTTCAGAATTAGTTAATTAATATGTATAGTGGATTGAAATACATATCACAATTTTTAAAAACTCTCCAAAAATTCAATACAACACATACAGAAAGAAGATCTTGCGTCATTTTTGCAAGTAGGTTCATGTTTTCAAGTTCAGTTCGGATTGCAGAGTTTTTGTTCGGATTAAAGAGGCATCGACTTCAACCAGCCTCTTTTCGGATTACTGGATGTTCGGATAATCGTGGTTTCGGATTATAGAGGTTATACTGTATCACAGTATTTTATGGATTTTAAAGTTTCCAGTAAAATTTTGAGATGACCTCATCAAGTTTTTCAAAAGGATAAATAAAAAAAAAAAGAAAAACGATGGAACTATTTTTTATATTCTAAGGCTTATTCGTGAAGTGCACTTTTAGTTGTCAATCTTATGATGTGTTTTAACACAACCATTTGTGGGATGCCATTGAAGTATTTTAATTGCAGATTATTTTCACCACTGTTGTCAGGCGTCTTAAATCTTTTTGCTATTCAATAAGCTTTATTTTGTCGCAGTCGTGTAAGATTTTTGCTTATACAAATATTGTTCTTAAGTTTATATTTGGTAATTATGTGGTAGATCTTAGTAGCCGACAAAAGTACCATTGAGATTGGGCCACACATTTTTAAATTTTTTACTTATGCGATGGCTTCTGTTTCCGATAAACTTTTACAATCATGTTAGCAGCACGTCGTTGCCTGTCCTCAAACTCATCAAATATTTCAGAAATATTCTATACGCTACGTGGAAAATGAAAATTTTTTACTCGTCTTATTATCCAGCTCGGCATTTGCCTGCTTGGATAACCCTTCAGACTCGTAAAAAAACACTGTTATTTTACAACTTGTTGCATAAAGAAGTCTTAACATCACTCAAAACTTTCAAATATGCACAAAATAAGAGTTCAAACTTTAAAACAACAGCCATCTTGGTAACAAAAAGATATAGAACATATATTTGATAAATTTTTGAGGGCACTATATCGTTTTAATGCGTGAATTAAATTTTCGTTTCTAAACTAAACTAAAAATAGTCAAGTGATGAGACTTTGCTTACCTCCGAACACGTCGCATCGTAATGTGAAGGAGGCCCCCTCCGGGAAGGGCCCCACTACCGACTCCAGCTGGGCACCCGACTCGTTGGTAATGACGATCTTCTGCGGAGGAACTGCAAAGAAACGTTCAAATTAATCAGATCCCGTATCGGTCCCATCGAACCTAATTTAACTGCCCCCTGCACATTCGCATATCGACCCGCCGCTGTTCTTGCAGAATAATTGAGAGTTATGACCGAATGGCGTGTTCCTCCCTTTGACATAATGAGGGTGAACCATTTTTACCGAACGAGCGATCACGTAGGTACCCAGGTCGAGTGAAAACCGCCTCGATTATTGCACTTGCATGTCGGAGGCGATTACGGCGGCAATTTCCGTCAAACCGTTAAAGACGCAGACATCTGTATCCAGCGCCTCTCGAGTGCATTCTGCGCATTTTTGCGCGAATTACTTTCGCCGATTTAATTGAATTTTAATCGCGTTATGCGAGCGAACGGCTCGAGAATCAACAGAATTAAAATCGTTTTCTCTACAATAGTTGCGCGGAGGAAATGGGAAAGTTGGTGCTCTGCATTTTATAACGGAACACGTTAATTTCCCTTCAACTGCAATCTGTAATGTGATTTCGATTTTATTTTATTTGTTGCAAGTGCAGATTTTGTGTTGTCAGCTAGGTGAAATTGCTGTTTATTGTTACCGGATGAGCTGCGTCCGGGGGAGGAAATAACGACGCTGTGTAACGGACATGTAACGAACACTGATTAAACAATGCCACAAAATATGGGGAATTTCATATTCGGATGTCCACTTAGTTGGTAAAGTTACGGATTTGTTGGAAAAAGTAATTAAAATTTAACATTTAAACATATTAAAAATTGATAATTGTACTCCGGGGGCAAGGAAAGTTCTGTCTGAAGAGACCAATAAGACCAATTTTTTTTTTTTTTTTTTTTATTAATTACGTCCCCCAACAGGCACTGAGGCCCAATTACAGGGGAACGGGACATACACGTTACACCCAGAGCCATGGCGGGAATCGAACCCACGACCCAAGGTGTAGCGGGCAAGCATGATGCTAACTAGCCCACCCCGGGTCCTCAATTTGTGTAGAATCGCTGTTTAACTATAGTACAAGTAAATATTATTATTCTTACTATATCTTAACGGTTTAAAAAGAAAATTCTAAGCTTGCCACAAAACTATCGGGTGCTTTTACTCTAGTATTTGCGGAAAACTGAAAAATTTATCGGCGGCTTTTCACTTCCGCCAGTAAACTTGCACTTTACCATCGTCTGTCGGCAATTCCCCATCAAAGCTAATAAAACCCCCCGTGAGCACTCCGCTGCAACGTGTTGCGAGCGTCTCACAACTATTTTGAATATTTCAGCGCTTTCCGGAAACCTATTGTCTAAAGCTTTTCCTGCTCGTGAATTATAAAAGACCAGAGGTCATCGTAAAGTTTCCGGCATACTTAGACACGATGTCACATCTCTCTTCCCCCATTACATTCCCATTAGCCCCCGCTATTAAACCTTATATTCCCTTGTTTATAGCGGCACATACGCGCTACTTTGAATCCGGTTGAACCGTACTACTCTCTGCAGTAGAACTTTGGCTCCACTGCGAAATTTTCGAACTGTTTTGCTCTTGGGAGATTTCGTGATTTATTTCGTGCGGCGAAAGGTTTCTCGTGACGGCTTTCAAATCTGAAATGTGTCAACAATGACAGAGTTAAAATATTTAGTTGTTTTCTGGGTCGAGGAGTTCGAGCTGGATATGAAAGGAATCTAGATCGGAAGTGACTTTTTATTTTTCTTCAATTTTAAAACGATACGTTTTAAGTTTCTATGTTAGGATCAAGACCACAACTTTAAGAAAAATAGGTCAGATTTCGTGGCACTTGCCAACAATTATTAATTAATTCAGCCCTATTTTTAACGTATCCATGTATGTTCTTGGAAAAATTTAAAAAAATTGCCACAAAATCTCTTTCAAAAAATTGATAAAATCATTTCAACATTTTGTAAAGTAAAGTTCGTCTGAAATTTATGATGTGATATTATAAAGGCGATACAAGCAATTTATTCATATATGTAGGGATTGATAAACGTCAGGTCAGGTCAGGTCAGGTCAGTAATCACGTAATCTGCAGCTTCGAGGGCGGAATTAAGTGGGTCGCTCAGGGCAATCTTCTAGTCACGGGTGGAGTGGAATTGTGGCGTTCTGCGCGATCCGCTCGTCGTAGAAGGAATTTTGTCACTCGGTGTAATCGTAGCAGTGACTGTAAGTGCAATTCGTGAGCCCTCTTAAGCTAATTAAGAAATCCTCTCGTTTCGGGTAGAGCAGAATTGCCGCTCTCTGTCTGATCGGCTCCTCATAGAGGGAAGTAGTTGGAGTTGTGTCAGCCCAACCAAGCATAACTCTGTCCACCGGGAGGTTGTGTGTTGTAATCGCATCTGACCTTCTCCCATCTGGCCTAACCTGTCTGGATCTGACCTAAGTCGGCCGTACCTGACCTGACTTGACCTATTTTGACCTGACTAGGCTCTTATGGTAATTTTTTCCCTTAGATTTTAAAACAGTACGTCTAGAGAATCCTGAAGTATAACTTCAAGAGAATAATTGGATTTTCAATTTTCATTCTACTACGTAAAGTGTCCACTGGTCAAGAAAAAAAAATGCTTGAAATTTTCCTCCGGCTAAGCTAACATTTAACTACGTGAAAATATCTAGTGTTATAAGCGCATCTTTTGAGTTTCTGCATGGAGATTACGAACGCCGACCAGCACAGTGTTGAATTATTGTTCGACAAGAGCACAATGCAACACTTTACGGCGCAAAATCCATAAATTTTCTTAATACACCCAGCTTTGAAACTTTCGCCACCGCTGCATTATTTGTGGCATTTCGCCGTAAATCACATATGTTATGCAGAGGGCAAGTTGAAATGTTTAATTCGTGGCCACAGGGAGGGTCAGTCGTATAAATAATTAATTGCTTCATCCCCTCGAACAGCTTCACGTGCAGCCACTGTCCAAGTAAAAAATTACTTCCGCAAAATTGAAACGTTCAACGCATTAATCAAAAACAAACAAAAAATATGCGTTTCCTACAAAAATCGCTCCTTGCTACAACATAACCCTAATTGCCGCTCTCGAGCAATCCTCGGTATAATGGTATGTTCTGTTTGCTATTGATTGATGTCGTGCTGCTGCGTATTCAATATTTCTACCGCACATGCAATTAATTTCCACTACAAACAGATCGCATAATCGCTAAAACGAACATTATTAAGTCGAAAGTGCCTCATTTCTGGCGACCGCGATTGTTAATATGCTATATCATGACGTATTAGAAGGATTTAAATGTTAATAGACCGACCGCGGGCAGAAACGGAAAACCTGTTTTTTCGTATTCGAATGACTGTTCATACTTTTAAAAGGCGAAAATTCGAAAACGTTTTTTCTCTTTTGCTCGCATGCGATAGAGGAGGGTGGAACGACAGCTCGCACACTAAGTTAGGCTTCGCCTGGACGCTCATATTTTATTTTCGATATCATTGTAGCTTTACGAGGGTGTAAGTTTTTCGATGAGGTTTTAATGCTGGCTTGTTAGAGAAGAACTAGAGTTGTGTGGATTCATACATCTTTGATAGCGGTTTTAATTTCGTTAAAGATAAATATTGAATAGTTTATAAATAGTCTGGCGCACAAATGAACGTCGGAAATATCAGAGTATCTTCTGTCGACGTTTAAATTGATATGACATGTAAATTACTGTTATTAGGAGATTACTGATATGTGGCACTATGCCTGAGAGAATAATTTATGTCGTCTTCTCGTTTATTAGGCTGTGTTATTTCCTTGATTCGCAGCTTCAAAGGAAACGGGTATAATTTGGGAATATTGTGTAATGAGATATACGCTTTTTATTTTAATGGGACATGAAAATACGCTTACTTGTTTATTAAAATACAACAAAATTTCACGCGATGTCTGGTAAAGGACACGGCAAACAGCGCTATTTTGAAACGTGCGCTTTGATACGAGAAATGATTGATAAGCTAGCATAAAAAACTTTGCTCTTTTTCAAAGCAAAATTTATTTATTTATTCAACTTAACCTTTTAACTCTCTATACTTACCACAATGATAAGGTAGTTCTAAGCCTTCAAAAAATATATATTTATTTCGTTCTGTAATCACTTCTCGACAGTACCTATAACTAATTTATTCGGTGAGGACTTCTACCGTTTTAATTATTTTTTAAGTTATGGCAGTGTTTAAGAGTAAATCTGGTGAGCTAACACAACTCAAAGCTAATTATATCAATTTCACAAACAGCTTTGCCAAAATTATATCTGAGAACGGGCATACTGTTAAGCGCATGTTACAAAGTTGTTAAAAAGAGGTTACATAATATCTTTATAAGATTACCACAGGGCGTGAACTTTTACCTTTTGATATTCGTTGTCACCTTAACTGGTTTCAAAATAACCTCAGTGATAACAGAATGTAGAATTTAAGATTCCCATGATCTTACACCACCGGATTTTCACGAGCTGGCTATTTAAAAAATCACATATTTAAACAGGAACTTAAAAATTGAGAAGAACCACAAAAGAAATATTCCCACTGCTGTCGTAACATAAATGAACACTTTAGAAAATGTGTAAAAGGTGTGAGTGTGTTTGGAAAATAACAGTCAATATTGCAAACATGTTTCGTAGTGTTGTTTTTTAATAAAATTGATTTTTTTATATAGGGATAAAAATTGTTTATTGTCAACTTAAATAAAGTATTTGTTATATGAGTATAATTTTTTGTTTTTTTTTGTATGACTAAATTATCAAATTTTTAACTTAATGTTTTTCAGCTTATGCAACCAATTAAACACGCGGATCCATGAACACGTCTACATTTGAGCAGATAAGAAGTCATTGTATTTAGTTGTCTTTGAACTCCTTAACAACAAATGTAGTTTGTGTAAATAACAGCAAATAACAACAATGTTTGAAAAAGCGTAAAGTGGAACAATCTGAAGAAATTCGTGAAGCTGCTGAAGTTGATGTCCTGAACTTATTGACATCTGTGTAAGTTACGAAAACAAGAATACAATAATTTTGAATGCTTTTAAAGAAAGTTGCAAACTTAACAATACAATGTCATGTTTGCCTAGTTCATTGCAAAAATAAAAATTTTCGAGCTCGAAATTTTGTATCGACAGCAAATGATAATTAACATTTGATGGTGGAAGTAAAATATTTTGATAAATTTATTATGAATTGTAGGTATATTTCAACTCTTCGTCGGGTGAAACGATTTTGGGCATAGTTGGCGCACGCTGGGTATATGAACTTGTAAACTGGAAAGTTAATGATACCGAAGACATGGGAACGTCGTTAGTTGTCAGTATTTCCAACATAAAGAATAAAATCCCAAGATCATTTGTTGTTATCATTACTTAACGAAGACAATGTAATTTTTTCTTGGGGATGTGTTAGAGAGGAGAATAACAGTGAGTTTGTAATTTAAAATTTCAGAACTAATAATACATACACAATATTTTTAGACACTAAAAGTGAAGATAACAAGCTGTGTTATAGAAAATAAATGTTCCCATTAATTTTGAATTTTCTCTATACAGTGGATATGATTGTGTTAGTATAAATCCAAAAATAACATTATTTTGCTTAAGTGTGCATCTTGAATGTGAATCCTTGACCACTAGAGGCTGAGACGAGAATTAATGGTTGTTAACAGGTGTTTAGGCGATTCGAAATGAAGAGAAATCCGTGCCAATAATTTTGTAAATATTTTTATTAATATATTTTGATATGCAGTGGTAGATCACAGAGACGTTAAAACATTGACATAAAATATTAACTCGCTGTTGCATTTATGAAATTGATCACTGGTTTACCTGTGATTGCTCATTTATTCGCACCATTTGGGTGAACTGATATATCACACAAATTTAAACAACGTCCATTAGAGAAACACACAACATTGGGGCAGTTCAATTTTACGTTTTTATAAAACGAAACATTTTTCACTAATCCGCAGGTCGCTGAAAATTGATAACGTACACAAAATAATCTACAATTAATAACTCTGTTACTTTACGTTGTGGTCGAACATCGAGTTCACATAAATCTACACACATGTTGTCTTCAAAGCAGATGAAATTGGGGCAAGCTAAGGTGACTTGCTTGTATAAACTGCCACTTTTTGACTGGTCTCTCGTGGATACTTTTCCTAAAAACGAAACAAAAATTACGTACGTATTAAAATAGCAAGGAAAAAATACCATCTTTGGGGATATGGTTGGACTTAGTATGTTCCAGTGTGTGACAAAAGACCACTACACACAACAGAATTAAAATGTTGCTGCTTATCATGTTTCGATGTTGCAAAAACAGCTGATTAAAATAACTTTGTTATCTGCTCTGACAATATACATTAATTTTGCATTATATCTATATTTGCTTAAATATATAAATATTTGCAAATTTTGCTGTATTTTCGATTTAGGTTATCGGATATCATTTAGTGATTCAAAGTGCATCAGCAATTTTACTTTTTATTTGATTAATTCAACAGAAAAGGCACATGTTTAAAACTAATTTAAATTCTGCAAGTGTGCATGTGTGTAATAATTTAACAGTGCGTACGGGCTTGTTGATGACAGTGTTTGTGATATCGAGGGTCAGCTGCGGCAGTTGACTTCAATTAGTGTTTATCGGGTGATAAAATGCATCAGTTTTGATAAAAATAAAGGTTACTGGATGCTTCAGCAGAAGTAGGTTATGCAGGAGTTTAAAATATTTGTTTTGATTATGTCTATTTTTAAAACAATTATGAAGATCAGATAAGGTTAATAAATGAGAAGACTGTCGCGATAAAGACAATTTGGAAATAATACCAGGAATTTTGATAATTCAGCTTCGCTTTAAAAAGAAGATAATTTTTTATATCCAAAACAAATTGTTAATTAAATAATTATTGTACTTAGATGTTGATAAGCCTATATTATATAAGCAGATTATACAGTTTTCAAGAAAAAACAATACCTCTATAACCACGAAGCAAACATTTTTCCTTGCGCTTCCTACAAGAAAGTATTCTCAAAGAAACAATGAGTCTGAATGTTACAAATTTACAATTGTTTTTATTTCTTTTGTAAGCAAATCGTATTTATTATAAATGTTTTAACCAATTCAGGCTGATTGTGAATTTTGGGTATATGTTTTTGACTTCGTCCCACTGTAGCTTGGTTTCATGTGCATCCGTGAACACACTCCCTCATTTTGCGTCACAAAGCACCCAGCGTCCCGCTGTCTTACCACTCTTTCCAGCAAACCCGCCACCTTTCCTCTGCCAAATTGAAACTAATCCACCCTTCCGCTTCGCTCCCCCGCCCCGCACGTAATCCGAGCCGCACTTTCTCTACCGCCCTCCAAATCCACCCGGATTCGTATTTCGCGGAATTTCCGGCACCGCTCCCTTGCGGTTCGCCCCCGCAGCCGCCCCCATGGTCGCGGTCGGCCTGCGGTAGCGGCGTCAGCGCCTGCACTGTTGCCGTACAAATCATCGTGTTGAGCTGACAAATACATCTGCAGTCATGGTAGACGCCAATTGTCCATTGTTTGCTGGGTTCGGCCATGCATCGGCGTCGCTTGGTCGGATCTGGCCATCGATGTATGGCTAATATGTGCAGCGTTGGCGTTGTTGCCATTCTTGCAGAGCGATAAGAGGGCAGACAGTGGGCTAAGTTATTGCTGACATGGGATAGTATTAGAGGCGACAACGATGCGTAATTCCAGGAATAAATTATTCGCAAACGACGGTTCGCAACGACAAGAAAATGTTTACACGTAATTGTGTACTCACTCACTGACATAACTAATGGGGTTGAAGTGATAAGGGGTGCGTAGGGGTGGGGACTGGGGCACGGGGGGCAAGCGAGGGGTTTTTTGCGTCTTAAGGTGTGGGATGACGGTAATTACGAAAGCAGAAATGTTATTTGTTTTCAATTCGAAATTGCTGGTCCTGATATGAATATTCTTTAAGAAAGAACAAAATAAATATAGTAAAAATATTTTGGTTCTTCTAGTTTTCTTAACGCAGTAAAGCACATGATAATATGGTAAAAAAAAACTGTAATATGGTAAAAACAATAGCAAAGTAATAGAAGTGGAAGTGTATACTGTAATCGCCCAAAAACGGTTTAAGTCGGAGCCACTTGCAAACTCAAAAACCAAAACCTGCAAATTTCTGAGAATATTACATTTAGAAAAAACCTACACAACGACAAAGTAGAAAAGTCCGTTTAAAACCACCAAAAGATTGGTCGTAAATCGGGCTGTTTAATTTCTGACATTTTAATCGTTTTGTTAACTTTGTTTACTCCACTATCAAGTCTCTCGGAGTGAGGTGGAGGACCAAAGGACTCAATTAAGTGAGACGGTGTGTCCTTGCTGTTCTGAATTGTTGTTGTTTCAAGAAGCTAAATTGTACTTGTGTGTGCAGAGAGTACAATTGCTGGATTTATGAAAGTTTTTTAACCTTTGGCTGTGTAGTTTGAATCAATATGAAGCGTAGAGGATTTCATAATTATTTACGGTATTCATTAAACTAACCTTTCGCAATTAAATTTGTTGTGTGCTATTCTATTACCTGAATCGTACATATTTATGTTTTTTACAAAAGGGGAGCATTGTAACTTCAATGCATTTTCACAGAAATATTTGTTTGAAGTTGTATACTATTAGTGTTTATGGCATGAATTTTAAGTATTTGTTGTTGGTTTTGTTATTTTATCGAATGTCGAGGTGACACTGCTGATGGACAGTTTAAGGTCACAGATATGTGACCAGGTTAGGTCCGGTTTAATAAAGTTCGTGAACTTTCGTATTTTGTTACCACTGTAACTAATATTCTTAAAATGGTATTTTTTTATCCGATAATAAATTCATTGTTGGAAAAACTAGTAATTATTTTTGTATTTCTGGTACTGATAATACTTTCATTAAAAGAGTTATTAAAGAACAAGGTTAGCTTTGTATAAAATGGCTAAATACAGAACTGAATCGTTTCGAGTGTCTTCCATAATTTTTCAAATGTTAATTTTGGTTAAGACGTAGTTTGATAAATCGTGCTGATATGTTTCTAATAACTTTTTCTGAACTAAGTTTAGTAGTATATTAACCGCGGGTTTATTTAACGACGAGTAGAACGAGTGTTTAAAAAATGAGTGTCTAGAGAAGTTTATAAACGTGTGACATACTATCCCTTTTCTATGACTTGAAATTAAAATCACACTTATGGAAACTCTGAAATTTCTTACCATACCATGTGCATGAATGCCACAAAGGTTTTGTTAGACTATTATTTCTACTTAACAATACAGAGTTAGCACTAATTATTGCAAGGACTCTGTCGTTTAAGGGCAGGAAATATCAGCTCCAAAGTTTACCAAAATGGTTTTGATTTGGTCGGCACGAAGCAGCAACTTCAGGCCGTGACTAAAACAAAGCGACTAAGCGTAAGTTAGCTTCGTCAAGATGGCAACTTAAAGTGACAATTTAGACACGGTACTAGAAAATAGTGTATCATATAAGAAGGAGTTTATTTAAACACAAGAGGAGCGAATGTTTAAAAAACGAGTGTCTAGAGAAGTTTACATATTATGCGTTTTCTACGACTTCAAATTAAAACTATATTTATTCAAGTTTCGAAAGTACGCGGACTAAACTTTTTCCGAAAAATCATTAATTTCTGGTGGGATGCTTATGAAAATGTCTTAATTTTTAATAATAAACGTAATTTTGTGGATAAGAAGGTATTTAATAAACGAGTGACTGAAAAAATGGTGTCTAACACTGATTACTCAAAGTGGCTTATTTTCAATTCTGTACTTTCATTACTCTAAATTCTGAATCAGATCTACATCCCGATTTTGGAAGCCGATCTGAATCCTGATCTTAAATCGATTAAAAAAAATATGTAAGGACGGATTTCACCCCAATCAAGATTTTCGGATTCAGATCCACGTAATGCCTCAAAAAATCAAGAAATATTGATTCCAGCCTCTTCCGGAGGTATCGCAAAAAATATCTATCAAGTTTAACATAAAAATGAAATGGTTTCTGAATCTTTGGGCTGTACTGAAAAGAGTTTAATTAATAATGAACTGTGGCGAAGCTGTGCCAGGAGGTTTTAGACCAGTGGGCATTATTATATCTAGAAATATCTTTCCTGGACGTAAACGGGAAAGTTATGGCGTTTTAAGTGAAAGCAGAGCCGAATAATTTATAAGAGGAAGGTTTTTGTTTTGCAGCAGTAAAGAACAACAAAAACAATTTATACTTCAGAGAAAAAATTGTTTATTCAGGGCTTGCGAAATACATGTATTGTTTCTGAACTTATATAGAAAAGTTGGAAGTTTTTCTTTTAAGTTTGTATTTAAGAGAGAAAATTATCTGGATCTGCACATTTAAAAATTTTTAAGAAATTATATCATTCATTATCAAGTGGGAGTAAAATTACATGTACATTTTTTATGAGTTGCTGCGTGACTTTTTTATTTAACACATTGTGAAGCCATTTTCAAGAACTTACTTTTTAAGAGAAAAATTTCTATTGTGCCAGAGATTGAACATCTATTTTTAGATGCACTCCAGACTCTGTAATTCTTAGATTCTTTTCCCGTCGAGCAGTAAACAGTTGCAACAATAAAAGTATATGTCTGAAAATTTCATCTCATCTTATTTACTGACTTACATTCAACAAATCGTTATTATTAAAGA